TTTATGTTACACCTGATCTTAAATTTTAATTCGGCCCAATTGTGAAATTTTTTAGGTTGGGGATGCTAGGGTGGTTAAATTTTTTATGAATTGTGTAACGGATCTACAAATGATGGGACGGTTCCCCCTATTGCCTGTTGGTAGTATCATATTAAGTTTTCAGTCACGAGACTTTTTAGAAAGTATATATATACGTATATATGTATTATGTTCTCATCCACTTGCTTATTTTATTTCACTTATAACAATGACAACAGCTGCTAGACCAACTTTTGACCCAGCTCGTGGTTATGACAGTAAAGCACCAACATTACAATACAGTTCACGAGATCTTGCAGCACACACAAAACTTAAATTTAGGTATTTATATTACTAGCATTTTCTTGTTTTAGAGTTCATTTTTAATCTTTATACAGACAAACAGGACAGCTTACAAAAGAAGAACTCGAAAATATTGATCTTAAAGAGGAACTCCTTAAGGCTGAAAGAGAGCACTTTGAAAAAATACAAGGTGAACAGTTACGTGAAGCTGGTGCAGCTGGCGAGAATCAATATGCAGAAACTCGGCGTCGGTTATTGTTGGAAACTGCCGCTTTAGACAAGGACGACAGTGATGACGATAGTGATGATGATATTTCAAGGTACGGATAATATGGTTTATTAATCCCGTCGTAAGCGCCTTTAACCGAGCGTTAAGCAAATTGTAAAATTTGGTGTTTAGTGAAGAAGAAGAAGAGGAAGATGATACAGCGGCACTTTTATTAGAGTTGGAAAAAATCAAAAAAGAACGTGCAGAAGAGAAAGAAAGAATGGTAGGATTTTTTTTTTTTTCTTTAAATATTTGTTCTGTTTCTTTTGAGCTCTACTAATAAAAATTTTCAATCAAAGGAGCTAGAAAAGATGGAATCCGCCGAAAGACAAAGACAAGAAGAGGCAATGAACGGAAATCCTCTACTTCGTAAGGATTTTAGTGTAAAAAGAAGGTAAGCTAATTGGGGCGCTGACATTTATTAGGTAAAGGCAAACCTTAGTTTAATTGTATTGGTCAAAAATATATGGATAGGCCCATATAGTAAATGGATAGTAGGGATAAATGTCGGCACCTTACTGAATTTATAAATATTATATTTGTATAGTGAAATTAATTCAAATTTTATTTTTTATACAAAAGATGGGACGATGACGTAATTTTCAAGAATCAAGCACGTGGAGTAGATGATAAACCTAAAAAAAGATTTATTAATGACACTCTTCGCAGCGATTTTCATCGAAAGTTTATGAACAAATACGTGAAATGATATGTGTATTATTTTAATGTAATATTGGTTCGATGGACGCCCTCGGGTGTGGATTTTTTAATATGCTTCATTATTTTAAAAAACAATGTTCATTATAATATCATATTTCGTTTCTAGATTTACAAAACCAGAAAACTGACATTTTAAAATATATATAATCATTGGTAATTAATTGAATTTTTAGATAGGTACGTTTTTGTTTTATTAATACTTGCTAAATTAGTTAACTAACCATTTTTTTTTTCTATATAAAAAAAGATACAAAACATGACTAACTCGGTTGACAAATTTTATACTGCATTTTTTTAAACTTTTTTTTGAATATTAAATGTTTTTTTTTTTTTTGAATATAATTCAAAAACCAGTCCGTATTTTTTATGTGAAAAAAGGAAAATTTTACTAAAACACTAAAAAGTTACAAGAAAATACAACTATGAAAAAAAAAAAGATGCAAACATTATCTAATGACATGTTTACAAAATATTGAATATGGATTAGTAATGGTGTTTTTATAAATACATAATAAAAGAATTAAAAGAACATACATAATGAATATGTTCAGAAAAAAAATATATATATTTCACACAAAAAAAAATATGCATGACACACGAGAACTTAAAAAGGTGAAAAAAGTTTATAAAAAAAAAAGAAACTTTCTACAGGTGAAATAAAAAGGGTTGAAATAAAAAATGAACATGACTACAAAAAAAAAAAAAAAAAATTGAATATTTGTATGTATATACACACAAATGTATACATAAAATTGAGGATTTTAATAAAAAAATTTTCGTTCCGGTACTTGACTTCGCGTGACGGATAATATATTAACTATCACTACAATAGGAAAGAAAAGCTATTTTTAACAAGGTGTTAAAAAAAAAAAAATACATATTTAGTATAGTATAAACAAGAGAAATATTGTTGTATGATACACCGATCTCCGCCACGCAGGTCTAAATCGAAGAAAAATTACACGACACGCGGAAATATGAGGAGTATAAACACACAGTAAATGATCCGACTTTCCTCAAAAATGTAAGAAAAAATTGTTTACAAATAATGGTAACTGTGTGTATAATCTCCGATACCAATCATACCCATATTTCCAAAACTGCCCAATCCATTAAATGGGAATCTGAGCATGTTCATATTGTTCATATTGAGACTGTTAATTGTGTTTAAGGCTTGCATCTGCTCACGGTGAAGTTTACCCTGAATTCGTTTACCATATGGTGTGTTGCGAATAGCTGGTAAAAGGGGTCGAATGCATTCTACCAACTATTAATAATTTGTGAGATATTGTCACATTAATTAGAATTGAAATAAGGATAATAAACATACTTGAGCGCGTTGTATCGGATCGGCATAGTCGAGAGAGGTTTGTACAACATAATTCGCGTAAGAATCCCGTAATAACTTATCAAGTCTGTTTTTATTAAGCATTTCATCGATCAAGCATTTTCGTGTCTCCGGTTCTGCAACTCTGATACACTATAAAGACATTATAGTTTAACAAAATTTCTGGCAATAATTTATCTCAATATGAACAGGAAATGTCAATGTACCTTTTCCATAACGTTGGAGCTAAACTTCTGTACTGATAAGAGGCACACATTACCGATGAATTTACGAATCAGAGCATCTGTAAATCGACTATCACCAAGATCTAAGACATATTGAACGACGTAATTACCAAAAGGATCCTATATAGATATTACGCAACCAAAATAAGTATATTGACAATAATAATATTATTATATTTTAATAATATTAGTAATTTTAGTAACTTACTTGTACTAAGGTGAGTGCATGAAACGTAATCTCAGTAACAAGTTGAATTTTTTGAGATTCACTAGCACGATCAATACATCGTTGAAGTACACAGCAACCGTGGCGATGTGTAGCAACTTCAATACAGTTTTTGCTTACTGCATTATAAATGAACTACAAAAAAATTACGATGGTAAGATATTACTAATAATAACGAGATAAAATAGCATATATTCGAGGCTTACTTGATTTTCTTCATGACTCAAGCGGTGTAAACATTTTTGAATAACATGATTTCCGTTCAAGTCCTTGATCAGTGGTACAACATTAGGATTCAAAGCTACAATAACAATACGAATCTAGATCATAAAATTGTTAGATAATTAAAAATATTGTGAATATATTAAATCGCATATACAAAAAAAAAATAATAAAGTAAAATAACAACCTGTGTTGGAGTTGATAGAAATTCAATCATTTTTTGGACGCGTACCGTGCATGTTTAGAGAAATGTTCACTAATTCTGGTGCCACCGTCTCAATAATTATTGTACGTTGATCATCATTACAATACTCAAGAAGCTTTTGGCAAAGATAGTTTCCAAAAGGATCTAAAAAATTTACCAAATAAAATAAACACGTTAAATTAATAATAACTTATAAGAAAAGATAAATCTACTAACCTGTCATTAGTTCAACAAAGTGACTGAAAACTTCATTGAAAATCATACTAATGTATTGCTCATTCTTTTCTTCAAGTTTTTTTTGAAGATACCGACAACCGTGTTGATCCTTACAAAGTGAATATATCTCGCCGATCAGATCTTCCAGTAGAACCCCGGTAAACCTGTTGACTACAAACATAGACATGAAATTATAATTAATATTATTTAATAGCATCATTCGTTAGTATAATCTTTAGCAGTAAATTTTAGCATAGTTGCCAGTAAAATATAATACCTTCGAGATCACCACTTAACCGTTTTTGATTCATTTTAGAGAATGTCAAATTGTTTA